CTGTTTAACTAAAAGATTCGGGGGCAGATTCATCCTTTTGTTACTCCAGTTTGGTGCTGGGTAACTACTGATTTTAATGGAGTAACGTAGCAGTGAATGAGACTCTCAGAATTTTTGTTACTCCATAAGTTTTTTCCAAGAGATAGTAAATGTATTAATATTATTATTTCATTTGGCATTTTAAGTTTGTCTCTTTTCCTCTTGAGTTTTCAAGATGGTTTTTGGTGAACGTAGCCTATTAACGATATAACTATCCTAAGGAGCCAGTCATTTTAAATATTATCGAAAGTATTATTCAGGTAGATAAGTGTGTTATCATTTCAGCAGTCACGGTAAGTTGTCTATTACAGAGGCATCAGGCTGTAATAGCACCAAATAGCATTGTGTAACTGTGATTTTCCTGGCATAGCCCATTACCGCCAAAACTGATCAACTGTGTGCATGACTGATAGTGTCCTATGAGGAATAAATCAGAGGGTTCCAAATATTTTAAATGTAAATAGGAAAATATTAGCATGAGCGTAGATCATAATACGTAACTCTGATGAGTTGGCTGTTGAACTCAGGTGACCTGATTAACAAGTTTAGAAATGAAATTATGAAATGAAACCTACCCACCCATTTTCCTTGTTATTGGGCATCCCACCTAACTCCCTCCCATGTTTCACTGTCCAGCCCTGATTCAGCAAAGCATTTAAGCATGTGTTGAAATAAATTTGTTAGTCTTTAAGGTGCCACGAGTATAGGGTGACCAGACAGCAAGTGTGAAAAATTGGGACGGGGGTGGGGGGGTAATAGGAGCCTATATATAATAAAAAGGCCCCAAAATTGGGACTGTCCCTATAAAATCAGGACATCTGGTCACCCTACACAAGTACTCCTGTTCTTTTTGAAAGGTAATGGAATTTAGGCATATCCTTAAAGCCAAGCTTAAGTGTTTTGTTGAATTGGGGCCTTATTTTCTTCTGTTATTGTCTGGGCCAGATCCTGAGATGGTGTAAACTGTCGTAAACCCATTGACATCAGTTGCTTATTTCAGCAGGTCTGTGATAATTTACCCCCCCACACACACACACACCATTGTTTGTTTCTCTGACTAGCCTATTAATTTAGGGTCGGAGATGTATGAAATTTAAACACACACTTCTCTAGGCCCAAATGCTCCCCACAGTGGCGTGGTACAGAAGAAGAGCAAAAATCACAGACAAGATACACAAAGAGGATCAAAGGGTCAGCAGGTAGACTGTGGGGAAAGGTGCCATAGCATCAGTAGCTCTGTCCCCAAGTCCCCTACCTCACGGGGTAAGATATGATATAATTGATACGTTTATAAAGTACTGTAACAGGACGGCTTGCCCTTTTAAGAGCTAGAGGCCTGGGGCCAGCCAACCTTGGTTATTTACTAAGGAGGCACACCTATGTAGGGATCAGCTGATTCTCTATAAAGACTGGCTGGAAGCTGTAGAGAGAGGGATTCTCCGGAAGACCAGAGTAGAATACAAAGGCTTCTGGGAGCACATAGCCTCCAGCAGAGAAACCTGGAACTTTGGGAGTTAGACCCAAGAAGGAAAGGCCTTAGAGCAGGGGTGAAAGTAACTTACAGGACTTACCGGTACGGCTGGAGTCCTGAGCGGGGGTGTGGCCTCACCCGGAAGAGGCGGGGCCTCAGCCAGAAGAGGTGGGGCCTCTCAAGATTTAAAGGCCCTGGGGCACCAGCTGTGGCTGGGAGCCCCAGGGCCTTTAAATCACCCTGGGGCTCCCAGCTGCAGAGGTGGCTGGGAGTCCCCAGGGCTCAGGGGCAAATTAAAGGGGCCGGGGCTCTGGCCGCTGCGGAGCTCCGGGCCCTTTAAATCCCCGCCGTAGCTCTGGCAGCCAGGCTGAGGTTGGGATTCAAAGGGCCCGGAGCTCCCGCCCCTGGGGGAGCCAGAGCTGTGGCGGGGATTTAAAGGGCTCGGGGCTCCCCACAGCGGCCGGAGCACCAGGCCTTTAAATCCCCGCTGCGGAAGCCGGTGCAGTCCGGCACGGCGTACTGGCTCTTGCCAATACGCCGGACCAGACTGTCTTACTTTCACCTCTGCCTTGGAGTGACTTGATAAGGACTGGCGGCACTTGGTGGGGGGACGGGACTTGAGAACTTTAGTTTGAACGGGTGTTAATTTAGTGGTAGAACTAGGACAGTAGTTTGTGGTAGAACTAGAACATATTTAGTTCCAGTTCAGGAAAGCATCCCCATTCGGAACATCACTTTAGCATTTGCTTAACTTTAAGATTGTGTGTTCATCTCATCAAACTCAATGAGACTTAAGCACATGCTTAAAATTAAGCATGTGTTTAAGTGTTGGCCTGGAATCAGGACCTTAATGATAAAGTAAACGTGTGTACACACACTTTTATTCCACTAAATTTTCCTCAAGAAATATGCATTAAAAATGTTTATATGAATAATCATCATGAAGTTAGACACATTACTACTAAGTACTATTTACACGAACATTATAGGCCTGGTCTAACATCAGTGAAAACAATGGGACTTTTATAGGCACAGAATCAATCCCTATATGCATAAGTAACTATTAATTGTTCACTCCATGTCCAGCATTATAAACTTGTATGTATGGCTTTGAAAGCAAGGCATGTGCATCACCAGGAATTGTAGCTGTAGAAACCAGTTTGAGAGATGACTTGGAAATACCTAAGACAGACAGACAGACAAAGGATTTTCTTGCTTGGCAGTCTCCCTTCAAAAAAGATTTACATTCTTTCCTCTCACTTCCTCATCAACACAGACAAGGAAGCAAACAAACATTATCATCCCTTTCAACAACAGAAGTGCTGTAGCAAGCTAGAAAACCACAATTTGTATACACAATGAAAGACAAATGGGATAGGGAAACATGCTTATGGGCCCAATCCTACAGAATACTGAGCACCTCTTAGGAGGCACTGTGTGACCTTAACTCCATTGCTATCAAGAGACACTCAGTACCTCACAAGATTGACCCTATGGGTCATGATGAGCAAATAGTGCTTGATCTAGCACCACTGAAGTCAGTGGGATCTTCATCAATGACATCATAAGAATGGTCATACTGGGTCAGACCAAAGGTCCATCTGGCCCAGTGGCCAATGCCAGTTGTTTCAGAGGGAATAAACAGAACAGGTCATCATAAAGTGATCCATCCCCTGACATCTATGGACAAAGAATCAAGCTCATAGTAAGTCAAAAGCAGCGAGTGACAAATGACTCAGAGGGGCTTCTACACACGTTTGAACTACCATAGGTGTCACTTCTTCTATAATAGAAAACATGGCACTGGGTACAGAAATCTGTCACCATTATCTATTCAGAAACCCAAAATCATTCACAGTCACGTCCAATTTTGAGGGGAATTCAGAAAACTAAAAATGGTCTTAATAATGAAAACATAACCACATCAGATGCAGCCTAGTTGGATGCCACTTTCCTTTGTGTAAATAAATGTTGTAAGATGAAACAATAGTCTCCAATATGGACATCCCCATAATACCTAGCTACCAAGCTGATATTTTCCAATGGTCAGAATTTCAAAAGTGTTAAACACAGACAATTGATTCATCTAAATGGAAGCTGGGCTCTGCCCATAATTGTCCAAGATGTTTGTGCTAATTTGGTTACATCCTAAAGAAAAACTGCTACGTATTGCAGACATCTGCATGCACTTTGTCTGATAAAATGTCTCACTGTTGGAGCTTATGATGAAAACCATAACAATTCTTTTGATCAGACACTTTGGAAGGAAATAAAATTAAAAGTTCAAACTTAACTGTTGTGAAATGAGTCTTCAAATAAAATAAAAGAAACCGTAGGTAAAGCAATTCTATTTTCATTTCTTATATTACAAGAAAGAGCATTTACTAGCACTTATCCCAGACAAAACTTTGTTGGGCTACAAATAATGCTGAACACCTAACCTTCTAATATGTATTGTTAGAATTCATAACAATATTGTTGTAGTTATTTATGTAGTGGTAACATTGTTATTAATGTAGTGGGGGTGGTTTTATTATGCAAAATTGTTCATATTTAGGCCTGATCCAAAGCCTTCTGAAGTTAGAGGAAAGACTTCCATTGACTTCAGTTGGCTTTTGGTCAGGGGTTTAATCATTTAGGTCCCCAGTCCAACAAAGAACTCAAGCAGGTGCTTCACTTTAAATATGTGAGTAGTTTCATTGGTTTCAATTTGACTATTCACATGCTTAGGTTCTTTGCTCAAGGAGGGCCTAGTGCTTGCCAGATCTGACCAGATAAGACCCAGAAAAGCAGAAGAAATAGAGATAATTGTAAAATTAAATTTACTAATATAATAAGACACTGAAATTGCTGTCAGCTTCTTTGTATGGTAGTAATGCTGTTTGTATGCATTTCAGTATAGATAGAAAGATTATCTACTAGGAAATATTCTGCTCACTGTCTTATACTGAAAACAATTTATATAAACTTGGTAGCAATTTGCTGTCTTCGCTGTCTTAAAACCTATGATCTGTGTCCAGTGAATGGCAATTCATGTGGCCCTGTGGACTTACGTCATACATCTTGCCCACTTGAGGGAAGTAATGGAAACAACTTAGCCGGGAGAGAGATGTCCTGAGAGCAGGTGATTAAATTAGCATGCTTTAAAAAAAATCAAAATATATTTTTAAAAGGTTGCATTTAAAAAAAAGACCATGTTAAATCAATAGATCAAGAGTGCATTGAAGTTGCTACAACAGCCGTATTCCAAATATAGGTCATGTGTGTTTGATTATGCTATTCGGATAGTTTGATTAGGTTTGGCAAATGAAAACCTTGTCTTATGAGTCATTTTTACCTCCTGGATTTGCATATATATATATATATATATATATATATATATCATATT